TGGACAATAGGAAGGGCAGATGTACATTTATAATACCATGCCCTTTCTTTCATTCAAGTTCAAATTTTGGCAAAACATCAAGGGACAATCATTACGCCAATAAAACTATGCGGCAAGAAAGCAATGAACTATACAGGATACAACTTCCATACCAAACCGAAGTCTATCGTCAAGAATTACTGTAACTCTAACAACTTTCAAGGAAAAAAGGACCTAGATTTTGATACCTTTTCTAACCTACCTAACAAGTAAGCATGCTTAAGCAAGATTTTACGGTGTCGAACTTTCCGTTAAAATGAATGTAGAAGTCTGCAGATTTGCGCACTCTTATGACTAAGAAGCCCCGGAAGTTTAGCTGATCTATTTTGCAGCATTCCCGCAAATGGAGCCCTCTTTCCACTAAGTGTCTTTTTTTCCTCAAATGCTAAGGTAATCGTACAGCGTGCCCTTTCCATTTATGTTGCATAGATAGGTAAATATAACGCTATAAAAATATTAGTAATCTAATATTCAGAACGGAAGAATTGGATAATGTGACCCAAAAAATGAATCGTATAAAAAACATTAGTAATTTGATATTCAGAACGGAAAAAATTAATAATGTGACCGAAAAAATGGATTTTTGGGTGATTCGAGCATTAAGCTGCCTTGGAAATGCTCGCTCGAGCATATCCTATGTGTCTAACAAAAGTAGTGTTTTCTTATTTGAATTTTACATTTCTCAGTTAAGGTTTAAGCAGTTTTTTGCTAATACTAAAAAAAGACAAAGTTTTCTGCTTATGACCTTTAACTGCTGAGACAAAGAACAGAAAATTTTCACAACTGTGCACTTTCAAAGGTTTTGCTTATAGTTTTCCTCGTTACACAGAAAAAGGAAATTTCCGCATTTTTGATTTAAATTCATTGAATTTTCGCATTTTTGATTTAAATTCATTGTTCCCATTCCCCCGCACCGATTCGAATCTTCAACATAAAACTCAATATTCTCTCCTCTCCCTCCATTCTCAACGAAAATCCTCGGAAACGTGTAACATTCCAGAAAGCTCACTTGAAAGTGCACCTTGCATCCCAGAACCATGCACCTTGCATCCCAGAACCAATCTCATCACAGCCGTGTTTTCCACTAGCAATGCCGTGCAGCGTTAGCTTCTCGTCGAAACGATTGCTCAATGAATTCGTAGAAAAACTCCACTCGAAGTAGATGTGAACATCGGATTTGAAAGGGATTTACACAGCACGCTGTGTAAACCAAGCAACATATGTGAAGGACAAAATAAAATGAGAAAACTGTCATTGATCAGTGCAATAGGCTTATGGGAGAGCATGTTTTAGTCGCAGAGATAGCTCTTATGATTGTGAATGTTTGAGATTGTATAGATTTTATCAGGGAAAGCGAGATTTCATGTGCAAATTGGCCCTTGCTTAACACAACACGAAGTTTTTGAACATGAGCAAACTTTTTTCCGCAAAAACCTATAGAAGTTAGTTAGAAACAACCAAATTTTCTAAAAAAAGATCAATCTCGAAGATTTTCTGAGCAAAAGGAATCAAAACGTTTGTACTGAGTCCATTCTCAATCAATGAAATTTTCTTTTTACCCTAATTTTTGGAGCGGTCATCGTTAACATCGGAACAATTCTCATAGGTTTGATGAACACATCCCCTTTCTGAACTACCTTGATTTCTGAACAAGTGAATAATGACTTTGTTACGCTAGAAAAAATTATATTATTTCTGTGGGAGGAACGCATATGCATAAATGTATGAAAAATTAATGGAAAAAAATTCGGTTCACAGTGTTGAAATCATGGGCTTTGCTTTAATGTAAAAAAATCTTCTTGTCTTCAAGTCGGTGAAATCAATTGAAAACCGAAAGAAATGTCTTTTTTCGATTTTCAATTGATTTTTGGTATTGCATGAATCAGTAATAGTTGTCCCAATTTCTAGGTTTCTTCCAGCTTTTCCTTCCATCAGAGTGTTCATACTCATGATTTTTTCACTCTAACTCAGTGCAAACTCTTGTTTTTTCAAACTATTTTCACGCTTATCACTTTTTTCTGCTTCGGAACTGCAGCCCATTTTTTTCGCAGACATGTCAAGTGAACAAAGGAGTGCGGGAGTACGTTTTCAGTGGATTCAACAAAAAACCGGCTTTTGTTTGAAAAGGATGAGTATGCTATTGTGATCTGGAAGTCAAACAAAGAGTGTTGGAATACCAGTCAAAAAATATGATGAGCTGATTTTTTGTGGAAGCAAAACGACCGAAAACAAACGGAACCAAATTGCTCTTCAGATCACTAAGTGGGAAGATCCTGTAGATGACTACGTTTCTTATGAAGTAAGTAAGTTTCTTATAAAGTAATGTCAAGTACCTATGTTTCGTACCACCCTTCCGGAAAAATTGAAACGCTGAATTCTCTCTCTCCAATGGGAAACGCGCAGAGGATTTTTGTCAGCCTACTAAGTAGCACCTACAGCGTTATATAAATCCCTGAGAACAGTTGGAACGCTGCCAACTTCCTCAACCTCTCTAACACCCTTGCGATTTTTCTAGCAAAACAATCGGCCGACTCTTGCGAATCTTGTTGACTTGCCTGATTCCGAACCCCGTAGTATGCATGTCTATTTACGCAAAATCGCGTACATGTGCACTTTGGCGTTTGCGGCGGCGGCACAGAGACAATGATTAATAGATGCAGGTCGCTATGGCCGTTTCGGGTTCGGGTTTACTGAAGCAGAGGATAAAGAGATCTCAGAAGGTCTGGCTGAAGGCGAATTTTGAGATTGCGAATTTTTGTGGCAGATGTTCAGAGTTTTTCTAATCTGTTTCCCACTGATTGTGGGGATGTTTGAATGTAGGGCTGTATTTACAATATTTGAGCCAAGAATTAGCGCTTCATGGGAACGACGACGATGATTGCCTTCGGATGAATTGGGTCCTGACTAGCCGCATATGAGGCGTCTGAGGAAAAATCGATCCGCTTCTCGCTACATTAAGCCAGCACCAAAACAACATAGTAAACCAGCCTAGAGCCATTGACTCCCACTTCATTTTTTCCAGACATGGAAGGTCGCCTCAATCCCAACAATCTCAAGAAAATAATAGGCGCTTTGTCAAAGAATCATAGGTAATGTACTTCGGAAAAACGTCGCAGAAGGGCGATCATCAGTCCCAAGACCAAAGCCTTCCCAACTCTTGAAGTTTACTACCTAATAACGACGATAATCCCCCAAACTACTCTTTCCCCGGCCGAAATTTCTCCTCGCAATGCACTTTCGGAGGTACTCTAGCATCACGCTTCTCCAATTTCACATTTCAGATGTGCTTCCGGAACTGCAAAAAAATGATGTAATCATATCCCTCTCACCTTTCCATGGTTTACTTTCTTATATACAGAAAAAAACTCTGCAAGGATCCTTGCAATCTGCAATTTCTACAACTCGCGTAGTTTGATTGGTGTTCCTGCACAAATTCTATTCTTTTTTCCCTTGTTTTTTCTTGGATTTTCGCTCTTCTCTCATTCTATCAGGTTTCGAGTGAGAGTAATCGCTGTTTTTGCTAGCTTATTTCGTTTCCGTCAATTCTTCTTTCTTCCTTGTTTTTGTTGTTTCTGCTAGACTCTGTACTAGCACTGTTTTGCAAACGTAAACTCTGCACCTTCATCTGTTTGAACGATTGACCAAGAGAACATGATTTATGAGGAAATGGCAAAGTTCTGGTTTTCGGGAGGATTATAGAGGGAAGATCGCTCAACTAATTTTTAATTTTGCAAATTTCACTTGACAGACTTTTCCTAAGAGTATCGAATATTGTACAGTTGCAGTGCATAAACAAGCGAAATTACGGGCTGACCACATAGAAATACAGCCTATGCCTATTTGCTAAAGCGGAATTGATTCAAAGTCTGGCAAACGTCATTATTTTCAGGATGGTAGCATCCTCTTGAATTTCTCTCTTTTTGTCTTTCCTTTCTCGAATTTCTTGAATTTTTCGCATACCTGATGCATTCATGGGTAGGTAATAGGAAACCCGCTAGCCAATGTATAATTCATATAAAATTGGAAAAGAATCAAGAAATATTTGTCTCTTGGGAGCGATCAAAAAGTGATTTTTTTCCTACCACGCACTTCTTCGCAAAAAGATAAGGCATATCATTTATTGTCGGGTTCTCTTTTAAATAGTGAACAACTTTTTTAACGTTAAAAATGAATTCCAAAATTCGAAGAAGCTAGAATTACCGAAGTCAAGCTATGAAAGTGTAAATTTTTCTATATTGTGTGCACCCATAGATCTACTAGCCCATCCACGTTACTCATTTTATTTCTTTCACTTTTATGTAGTAGTTCGAGTAGCAGGTTTGAGATTAGGGACCGGTCAGAAGTTTCCGTCAAATCGTATGTAATGTATGCGATATCGTGTAAGCGTCGTTTGTCATATGATTTGAATCATCGTTAACATCAATCAAAAATAATATTTTTTACCTGCCGAACGACATTCCTCATTTTTCATGTTTTTCGCCGTCACGCTGTCTCAAGCGTAAATCTGAAATGTTCTGAAAAATCTCTGAATTATTTGCAGACGAACCTGAATAAACTAAAAGTGGTGAGCGAAAACAACGACGGCGAGGCACGAAGAAGAGCAGGTCATGCCTCTATTTGGCCTCCGCTTCAGTGCTCCAGGTGAGCTTGAGAGCCGGTCCCTGAGTCCAAATTGCCGCAGCGCTACAGCCAGCGACTGCATCGCCCCGCAATTTGCCGGCTTTTTTGCCTGTGTTTTTACGCGTTCCGCACAGGCGCCGCTCTGCGGCCGAACGGCGGAATACCGCGACGTCCGTCCGCGCCGAGCTCTTAGTGGTGCTGCGTCTAGCGGCCGTCGTCTGTCGGCGTTTGTGTGCGTGTTGTGTGTGTGGTCCCTCAATTATTCAAGTGTGTGCGACTCTGTATCTCTGGCTTCTCGCCTTATGTGGAGAGGTTAGAGACGTAGAGCGGCAGTCGCTGGCATGTCCCGTTCTCCAACGGCTCGTAGTCCTTGCTGTGTATGCTTCAAACTATCAAGAAGTAAGATTTACAATGTTGAGATCATCAAAACAAGCTTCACAATAATGAAAAATAATTGTAGTATTTTTCTGGAATTTTTTGCAATTTTTTTCGCTGCAAAATAACTTCTATAAGACTCTAAATATCCTGAGCAGTCGCAAAAAATAGAAAACGTACCTTAGAAATTTTTTTAAGATGAGGACGAGCGGGCCCAAAAGAACACATTCACGAGGTGGATCAATCTCCACTTGGAAGAGGTTCGTGATTTTTGCCATCGTTTTTGCCACGTGTACCATACCTATGCAGTTGTCATACAATAATTGAAAATAGTTTTTCATTTTTTATATTTTAGCATAGTTCTTCCGGACGGGTGAATGACTTATTCGAGGATATAAAAGATGGCGTATTATTATGTCATCTCATTGAAGTACTCACCGGCGAGGCTCTGGTAAGTATTTGATCTATTTTCTGCTACTCTATTTTTTCATACATTGATTGTTCTTGCTTTTTTATACTTTTCACGTCCATGTTTATTATTCATTAGTATCCGAATCACACTTGACCTTTTGACCCGTAGAGTAGCGATGCTTATCAGGTTGAGGACATCGTAGAGAAAAGGAATATGAGCACGGCAAATCCTTTGATCGAAAAAAAAATAATGGAAAGAACATTTTTCATTTAAGCTTGAGATGACACTATTGCCAAATTATTTGCCAAATTTTACTCTAGAATTCTTTCACATTCTCTGTTCATAGAAATTCAGCGCCAATCCTTTCTTTTCTGTTTCATAGTCTTTTTCCTTTATTACTATCAAAACATAGAGCATCATCTGTCCGGTTTCTCGGAAAATTTCCGTCGTGAAAGCTTTCTTCTTCATTCCAGTCTATCCAGGAAGGCAATCTATCCTTTCTCAATTTCCTCATCTCAAAACTCGAAATCCTCTTTTCTTAGACTTTTTTGACCCATGACCAATTATCTTCACAATTAGATAAATAAACTTCGTAAAATTTCCTTGCCTTTTTTCAAAGACTCTTTTATACGAATTTCGTCCCATCAACATTTCCCTTGTTTTTCTGGGCAACACTCCTCAAACAGCTGCTGCCAATCGCTCATAGAACATGCAGCGATTTCTAGAAATTTCCGTAGCACAGAAAAATGTCATTACTGAGATGGTCATGGTAGTTCGATTTCCGGCTTTTTTACCTCACCCCGCGTTTCCTCTTTGGCAACACGGCAAGCTTCTTATCTTGCACATTTTATGGACTTGTTGGCTGTAGCTTTCGCTATCGATGGTGTGAACCGAAGTCGATAACGAGCCCACGCTCCCTCCAAACACATTGCAACTTTCACTTTTTCCAAGCGCACCGCATTTCAGGCGGCCAGTTCGAGCCAGTCAGGCTGGCCAGTAGAGAGTGCCAGCCCGTGGTTGTCGAACATCCGAAACCCCCTCACGCTGGCCATGTAGGCAACAGCTTACGCGAAAACTGGTTCTCTTGATTTGCGAATTTTCCTCTTGCACCCTGCGCGGCGTTGTGACGATGCCGAACGTATGCGGCGAAATGCAAACCACAAGAATCTCGCATGACATCGCCATTGATGAAATATTTCTGCACCCGATCGATGTAAAAAACCGATAAGAGCGGCTCTTCCGTGAGTTTTTCGCATGGCGACCGTCTGGAGGTCGTTAGAGTCATGTTACAGATTATAATACACCGTTCTTGCATATGAACGCATAAAGTGTGGCAGAAATCTCAAAAATTGGCTTTGATGCCTTTGAGAAAGAGCCAAATTATTTCCTCAGATAGAGAATCCAGACGGAATGGTTGCTGAGCAGAATGGGGAATCCTCAATGGATAATTTCCTCTCAATTCAGTAAATTCTTCCCCCCTCCCTCCACCTACCTCATCTCCTTTGTCGCAAGAGCTAAACGCAGGTGAGCTAAGGGGAAATCAATCTGGTGATAGCATCAGTGTAGTAAATTAAGCCTGCGGTGGTGTCGGTCGGCAAACAAAGTAATAAAATCTGAGAATTCACGTGCTAAGTCTCATGAGTTGTAAAAATTTTATGTCAGTCGAACGACTGAAAACTTGGGGGTTTATTTTGAAGGAACCTCTTATCAGCAATCTCGGTGCGCTACACTTTCTCCCAAGCAACAAAGAAAGCCAAGAAAAAGTGGGTGACAAACATGTTGAAATTTTATTCATTTGAATTGTTCGTTCATTGCTTCGTGGAGCCACTCTACTGTAAAACTCTTGAAAAAGTTCTCCGCATCTGATTCGAATGAGTGCTGCGAGGATTGTGTTTCCTTGTTGTAAAAATAGAATTTTCAACTAAGTTTTGTACAACCTTTTACATACGCAGAAGCAAAACTTTTTAACATGAAATTTTCAAAAGTCTCCATTTGAAATTGGAGCTATCTCTTTCTATGGAAGCATTGTGAATCGTAAATTGAGCGAAAGCGATTTTATATTGCATATGTATATTCAATGGTTTACATGTTTGAAATAGATACTACAACCATTTCGGCATCGGACGTTTGCAGTGCAAACAGATATCGTATTGCAAGCATGTGTGCTTTGCTAGATGTATTTATAACAAAAAATATGGGCGGATGCTTTCGGAAACTAATTTTTTTTTTGAAATATTAAACTGGGAAAATCAAATGCTCAGTACCTGAGCATTTACTTTGATACTGAGAATTCCATCGCTGCTGAGAATTCCAGAAGGGTGAGCCTCACGTTTCTGGAATTTTCCCAGCACTGTGGTAAGAGAGAAAATTTAGTTAGCTTAGATAGCGTTCTAGTTTTGCAGGAAAATCATTCGATTAGTCATGGGCAAAACTCATCAATCAAAGATTACTTTTTACTGCAGATGTTTTTTTATAGTTTTTTTGTCTCTGAATATACAATTACGTGAAATTTCAGCGCGTATAATGCTCCTTTAGCATTAGCATAAGCTTCTACCAAAGTTTACATCTGGAACTTTTTTATCAGAGTTTTTCGGAAAGTAGAGACTTCCACCTTCTTTTCAACCGTTTCTTCCTTAGGTAAAGAAAAACTCCCAACTTCTTTGCAATGATAGCACGCAAGGGTTATTTGCTTCTGTAGAAAGAAAACTAGTAGACAAATTCCTATTGGATCATAAATGTTGATTTTTTTTTTGCAGTCCAGGAACGCTCCACTGCATTACACTGGCAAAATGTCGTGATAAAAAAAGGAGTTCTCCCTTTCGAAGAGACGTGATCGTGATCACGCGCCGAGAGTGCACGCTCTATAAACTATCGTTTCTTGCCGAGCAGCTCTCCTTTGCGATGTGCGCACGGAATTGTAGTGGGTCGTAAAAAACTTCTACTTTTATATATAGGAGCGTACGGCGAGAGCGGGCAGGTGGTTTGAGACGCGAAGGACACTTTATACAATGGGGGGAGTTCTCGAGTCTGCAGTCAGTTGCATGACTTGACACAAGTATAAGAGAGTGAATTGTGTAAATTCAAAACAGCAGCAAAGCATTGTGAGCAGTAATTAAATATGCAAGTTCACGGTAAACAGGTCCCAATACACTTCTTAATCGTTGATATCTTGATATCTCTCTTCCCACATAGCTTCAAGTACTTTTCAGTAGAGCAGGCTCCGACTTAGATTTACAGTGTGATGCAAATCATCCATGCTCTTCATTTCTGTAGAATTATGGTAAGGAGTTCGAAAGGATTTTGAGCCATTGAGGGTCCATTCCACAAAAAGCGAACCAAACAGTTTCGAAGTTCTTACTAGGCTAATGAGACAAGCCTGGCACCAATCCGGAACTTTGCACTTTACCTAGTGCTCGTTCGTAAGTTATACGAGTAAGCCGCAATACTTTCAATACTTTTACAAGGCGAAAGTTGTGACTACACCTTCTCTAAAGCTTTAGAAACTCGTAAAAAGTTCATTAATAAATTCAACGTCCGTTAAAACCTTACACACAACTTTTCAAATTTTCCAAGTTTCTCTGAAATACGGCCAATCTATAACGACGCTGTAAGAAAGCCCCTACCGTAATTCTACAGTAATGATAAGTGGCGTTTATTCCATACTATAGATCTAAGTTGAAGCCTGCTGTACTGAATGGTACCTAAAGCTAAGCAAAAGACTTTGTGGGAGGAGAATTACTGACGATTAAAAACTTGTAGTTACTTTCAAGCCACCCTCGATAGAAACATTCTGCATAAATATGCGCATCCTAAACACTTATATTATTTTTTCAACAAGCGTACATTTGGTATACTGTAAGAAAACGAAGAAAATACAAGCTTGAAAAACGAGTTTTCTGGCGTAATATTCATTGCAATGCAGACTAGCTGATTTTTTGCCCATGTTTTTCTCAATTACGGTAGTTATCGTAGTTTCGTAGTCATCCTCTACCAAGCATTTGTAATGTTCGCTTTTTTTGACTTTCTTGCCCATGAAATAGGCGAATCTGGACCCGTTTGCAAATGATGGGGAGGGGGGGGGGGGGGAGGAGGTAACTTGACTCCATACAGAGTAACTTATGTTCAGCAGTAAACTGCGAAGCCGAAGCACTAATATTTTGGAAATTCTCTCACATCATTTGTCACGTATGATCATTTTTATTCCCCGAATACCTTCATGGAAAACTATAGCAGATTGATTATGTCTTCATAGACAAAGGAAAGAAATAACAATGTCACAGCATGATAGAGGACTCACTGATTACTGAATTTCCTCCGACTTCAAAACAGCCGGTGAGAAAATCTTGTTTGTTAAAATTCTGTGCAGCGCTGAAGGCAAAATGCAATACCGGAAAAGAAAACGCGACTCACTTAGTCTCAATTTCGGTGGACTGACTTTGCTTTTTTTGTCAAGTCATGTGAGCTAAATATGATCAACGGAGCTATTTTTTCTAAGCAAACAATCTAGACAAGCATCCTCAGCTTTTACTTTTTCAAAGACTTATTCGTCATTCCAGATGCCTATGATGTTTGCTGCTAGATATTCCACACGTCATGTCATTCGTTGCTTTTGAGCAAGGCTATGTTTGTAAAGTGTATGAAGTCTTGAAAATTGAGCTCCCTACTGGGACTAATTCTACTTTTGATAGAATGAGGCATCACAAATTATCCGGCAAAAATTCTCTTCTTTGTGAAAATGGTAGCTGGCTCAAAGACGTAAATTTTGACTTAAAGTGCCAAGCAGGCTAGAACATGGTTTGAGATTATGACTTTGGATAATGCATCTGCGTTCGGTTACAGCCTTTGCTCAGCGCGGTATTTCTTGCTAAATAGGGCTGGGTATCGTGAAACGGGGGATATTTGGTTAATAGAGTTCTGGTATCAGAACTTGCGCCCTTCAGAGACTAAGTATACGTTAGATTCGAAAAATTATGTGGGAAAAGGATAGGAAAATTATAACTGTGTTTGTGGCGGAGCCATCCAAATTATAGACTCACAATTCCCTTGATTGGCGATTTCACATCATTTCTCAAACTGTCTCATTGCTAACTTGAATATCGAATTTAGTGATTCAGTCGACTGTTTATAATCTTGCGCACGAAAACTGAGTCTTAATTATTGCCCGTTGTCGAGATGAGTCAGAGTTGAAATTGTTTGAGCTAATAAAATATGATGCTGTTGCATATAAATCTAGCAAAAACTCCGCTACGGAAACTTTACGAGCTACACTTTACTTGTTCCTTGGATAGACATGCCTAGGAACCAACGCTTTGCTTTGAGTAAGGCCTTACTAGTCTGATCTGAAACATGCTTTCAAGCAATCACCTTCCTGGAATAAATAAAGTCCCTCTTATAAACGGATAGTCTCCGTTATAAAATGAGAAAACTGCTAAATCGATTTCTCGCTTCCACTTTCGCCATCTAATGCTCAAAGTCCAATGGTTAAAAAACGTAATCCGCTTTCTCAAAGCTTTTCTCACATCGTTTACACTTCTCCTCCTAGCAGAAAAAAAACATGCCATTGACGCATCGAGCAGTCAGCGAGCTGCAAGCGCTTAGCAAACGTGACAATTGCACGGAAGTGCGAAGTGAACGGGAAGAAATGGAAAATAATTTATTTGTATCAACTACTCGATAGTTCTCTCATTTCAAACTGACGGTATTTGGAATCTGCCATTATTGAAGAAACGATTAGTGCAAGGTCGGAGCATAGCAGTGAATTTTCTCCAGTATGAATTATGGTCTGCAATTGTGTACGCGATTGATGAATAGCATAGAAGTCAAAGGATGATCGTGCAGGGGTCATTGCGCGCTGAGCTTACGGCGGAACATCTGGAACGTTCGAGAAATGTAAAAGCTGCAACGAGATCTAGCCAGTGGTCGAGAAGGGCTATCTTGGAGAAGGGGAGAGAAGCTTGTGGATAGATTTGCAAGATGTAGGAAATACAGGTTTTAAAAACAAATCATTACAGATTTTAATAGAATTAAATGTTTAACTGAAGACTACATCTTACTCTCTAATAAGCTAAGTTGACAGAAAAATAAAGAGCTGTCGCAAATATGTAGATTGTGGTAGGATTTACCCGTTAGAAATCTGCACTAGTGCATACATCTCATAATGATAATTCGCAGAAGAGATAACTTTCAATTAATGGTTGCAAGTTCAAGCGTAAGCCAGTTTCAATTCATTTATTTGCAAGTTCAGGAGTGGGGCCTACAGTAGCCCTCAAACAGTGACATTCCAGTCGCCATGTGTAATTGCACACCTTTAAAATTGCATTGCTACTTAAAGTAATGGTACGGGATGCTTTTATCTACTTCGCAATCATCTTCGTGTTACCTACATAATTCTACTTTTTCTCCACGTTTCCGATTTAAAGGAATACTCTAATCCTTTAGTGAAAAATTACAAAGCCGTTTGGATTACCGAGATGGAGCAACCATCTGACCATAACGTTAATTCATTATCAACGAGCGCACCCTTTCGAATTCGAAAGTTCTTGAATATTTTTTCAAAGTTCTTTCTTTCCTGTCTCATAGAGTTTCTAAATTCTGTTCGTTGCCTTAAAATCTGCTTTCTATTTTACTCCGATTCTTCATGGCATCTTTCACAATGATTATCGAAAGCATTAATCTTCTTCTAATTACTTTCACTATTGTGATAAGTGCAAAACTAGTATGAGCATCAGATAACGAGAAGGCTTTGAATTTTGCGCGTAAAGTTTATGTTGTAGTGCAATCGATCTTTCCATGAATCTTTTTGCGACTTAGTTCGGTGGAGATACTCTATACAACTTGAGGGTGTAGGTATGATTACCATATACATGTATTGGAACCGCTCTAACTTTCATAAATTCGTTGTCTGTCAAATAGTGCAAAAAAGTGCGGTCTCGGCTGCAAAAAAAGGGTGGCTCCCAACATTTTTTTGTGTTTTACGATCTGTCATGGCGACGCATGCTAATAACTGTCTATTTGCTCTACATTTAGCGTGGCTATAAAACGCCGTTCAGCAAAAGACAGGTATCTGTCAGGTGTCAAAAGATATTGTTTGGGCACTGAGAAGTGTACAATCGTAATGCACTTTGGCAAAGCCTGCCAACACGATTTTGTCTACCATAATTAATTGCTTGAAAGTACTAGTACGATGAGTGTAAACGACCTCTTAGAATTGCAATCTCGTAATCTTTACGAGAATCCTAGGGGCAGGATATGAGATAATCATGCCGTACACTTGACTCAAGAAATTCATATACGTACCAAACAATTTGAGGCTAGTCGGTAAGCCAAAACTGTTATGAGTGCTTAAGCAAAGTGACTGTTTTTTTAAATAAAGAAGTAAGTTATCATTCTGAAATAATATCGCGCATACCATATTATCCCCGCGAAAGACTCGCGAAATTTTTCAAAGTAGCCTACATCATAAAAATGTGTAATTGACTTGTTTTGTTGTCGAAAATTATGAGAAAATTTTGAAATTCCAAGTAAGTTCTAGGAGCATTACAGCGTTGTTATGCTCGCAAACAATTTTGGAAGCATCTTCAGAAATCGTCGAAGTTTTGTCGCGCGATTTACAAGGAAAGGATACGTGGTGACCGTGGCCTTTGGAATAAAACATACACTATTGAATGCAACTTGAAGCGCTGATTCTAAATCTGCTTTCCATCTGGTGCGCTTTTCCGAAAGAAGTTATGAACATTTTTTGATACCAAAATTTGCACTGTTTTTGATGCAGGATCCACCAATATCGTTAGAATGTTCGCTTACGCACTACAAAAGAGCGTATAGATAAAGTAAAGCTTCACGTTAAGTTCAGAAAATTGTCACCATTACATCAGAGTTTAAAAAGCCTGGATACTGACGATTTTGACTGCCTAAATCTCGCGAAAACAATATGGAAAAAGTCCATAACTTGTTCAGGGAGTCGCACAACAGATATGGAACATAGATTTAGAATCAGCGTTCCAAGGCGCACCTACTGGTATACATCTCATTGCAAAAGGCCACGATCACCAAGTATCCTTCCTTCGTTAGAGACTGGGATTCATTCAAATAAGCAGAAGAGACATATTCAGAGATAAGATAATCATCTCATCATCCTGCTAGCCTTTACAGAATTTATGGGTCGCGCTTATGTTATGGAAGAAGTTTTGAAGAACGATTTCTCTCTCACACTCATACCAGTCTACAAACAGTATAGCATGAGGAGATTGTTCTAAAAAAGTCAACCTTATTTCTTTCATTATCAAGTCCGTCACCAATCCTTCCCGTTTTTTTTTACTTTCACAGTATTACCTGTGGGTTGCATTTGATAATTTATGCTTTCCCTGGACCTTCTCTTCAGCTAGAAGTACGCATATGATACAAGATCAAATACATGTCTTTCCCTGTCCACTAACTACTACTGCATCTGGGTATGATAAGATTAGATGCTTCATTTTCGGGATCATTGGGTTATGAAAACCTTTTGGGAGGACCTTTTAACTTTTATGTCATGCAGATCTCCTGTGAGAAAAAGCGCGTTGCTGCGCTATCAGACATTTTTTAAGTTATCTATAGACACTCTAACAGTATCCCTTCACCTGGTAGTCTTTGCATATTCGCCAGTTTGCCTTCCTTTGACGTACTAGTTCTCTGAGTCTTTGTCTAGCTTGATCTCATAAATATTAAAATTTCCACTTCACACCATCGCACCAAAAATTTTTTGCTTTAAATGGGGAGTCCTCCTAAGTTCTTATCTTTCAAAACTCCTCTGTAATCTTCTTTTTCAATTTCATACGTGGTTGATTCTCAACAATTTTCAGCAAGTATGCAAACCTCGCGTCTCGAAACGGGTGCATCATATTGCAAACCTTACAACTGCACTGACCGTACTGCGACGAAGAGGTGATTGTTCAGGACTTCAAGATTGAGATCGAAGTAATAAGATAGTATTTTAGGCCTGGAATTGGTCAATAACAACGCAAGCGACATTGCAGATGGCAATCCCCGTATCGTGCTCGGCCTCATTTGGCAGATAATCCTTCATTTTCAGGTAAAAAGCGGGTTGCCCATCCGATTCTGTTTTCATAACCCATTTTTTTTTTGTGACCAGTCAGTCTCACGAAGAATAACAAATGACAAATTTTGCGCCATCAAAACTCTTTCTGTAAGAAGAAATTTGATCTCTTTTTGTCGAGAAGTTCCCAAGAAAACGTACATGATTTCTTACTACCGTAAAATGCACTCTATCGGTCGTAATCTCCACCGCTACGAGCTGCATATTTGGAAAATGAGTCAGAGCCACTGAATCACGTCTCCGTCATGGTATTGCTGAGTGCTCATACGGGAGATAGCGGAACCCGTTTTGTTCATAGGAACAATCGTGAATGGATGCTGTTACTTCAGACAGTCTTATTCAGTAGAATCTCAGCCACTAACGTTCAGCGTTGAAGTCAAGATGTTTGATGGTTTAGGAACTTTCCCACCGATAAATAACTCTTTTCTCATGTATGTGAAATCAATTAACATCACTCATACTCATCGGATGTGCCAACTTTGAAAGCTGAAGATGGAGGGCTTTGAAAGGCGGTTGGCAGAGAGTCCGAAGATGACACATAGCTGACTTCAAATCTTGAACAGGGCTCGGCACGAGGTGTCTAGTTGAAAATTGCAAAAAAAAGTCCACCTTGACTTTTGCGAATTTTTACGAAGGCCTCTTTGACCCTAGACCATAATCCCCATAAAATCTCCAAAAAACGAAAAATCGACTAAAAAATTTAAATTTTATGTCTTTTTGGCCACAAAAACGAAATCCCCTTTCCTTTTTGTTCCAAAAACGATATCCAGCTTGCATATAAGCCACCTGTGCCGAGCCCTGATCTTGAAGGGTACATCGTTTGATACCATAATTCTTTGAAAATTGCAGAAACGAGAATACGCAAATTTAGACGAATTATGCGGTTAGCTTTAGATGATGAAAGGTGACCTATTTGTTGAAAACTTCGAAAAAAATTATAGGAGTAGAAATAGTGATGTGACTCGTTTGATACCATAACTTGTCCCCATAATTTTTTAGCCCCTTCGTTCCCTTCGTTGCTAACGAGACTGTACGATTTCGACGAGCTCGAGCTCCAAAAGAACTACGTTATAAGAAAGTTGATTATCTTTTTACATCGAAAAAAAACCATATTGCAGGCGTTGCGGGTCCAAAATGGCATAAAACGCAAAAATTTCGGTTTTTTTCTGAAACCCCTCGAAAGCAACGCGGAAGAGTTGCGCCTTCTCAGCCTAGTCTTCGCCACAATGGCAGCAACACCATGAGATGGACGCCAAGTGAAGGGACATGTCGAAGCGCGTAGGGGGAAAATCGGGATTGTCGGCTGTGCGGGCCAAATCGCGCTTCGTGGGCCACTTTGAGGGCAAATTTTTCGGCATAGAAGGGCCGGGTTCGAGAGACTTGAGGCGGTCGCCTATTCAAGGAGTCCTCCAACAAATATGTGGAAATCCGCACTACCCTAATTTTAGTGAGACACTGTCCAAACCTGTTAAGTATCCCGCAAAAGTTGCAATTCTGTGAGCCCTACCATTTTTTTTTGACATCTTTTATAACCACAACTTCTTCTTAGTGCACTAACAAGCACATCTTTTCTTAACATTGTTGAAATTTATGGTGCTGGAATGGCAAAAAACCGAAGTTTTTTTCAAAAATTAGCTGAAGATTATGGAGCTTTTGAATAAGATTCTATAGATAGAACATGCCGTCGGTGAAGATTCAAAATTTGGAAAAAAAACCTACTTTTAAAAGGTTGAGGAAGTTCCGTATAACCGTGAGGTGCATTCCTTTGAATACCTAACCTTTCCGACAAAAGGAGCCGCTATGCCTTCAAGAGGATGATATGCAGTGGAATATTAGGTTGTCCCTTAAGTCTTTTTCATACCTGACTTTCAGCGACAATCAGTTCTTCTTGAACTTCCAATAGAATGCGGGGATTATGCCACAGATCAAAGCAAGCTTAATTCGCAACAAGTTCCAAGCCAAAACAAAATTTTTTTCAAATTTCTGAAAAAAAACGAAAATCATCATATCTCAGTTCAGAACAACTCTGCAAATTTCCCACTTTCTCGTGCACATACTCCCCTCATCGGCTATTTATACATGCGCTTGCTGCAATTTTGTGATGGCCAGAAACCAAGAAAAAAAATAATTCGCTCATTTTCCAAACTTTGCCTGTATCAGTTCTGGTTCCTCGCAAATAGGTGATTATATAGCTTATTCGCTCAGAGTCACTGTCAAAAAATTTACAGCTTACTAGGTGTTCTAGTTCTTGAGAAATATCGAACTGAAGGTCCGATTATGAAGAGACTTAAGCGACAACTTAATAGATGTGAACTTCGAGGAAAACGCTTTCGAAATCAATTTCTTCCAGATTGAGACGAACATGGCCCTGCTTCGTGAATGGGGTTGGGGTTCCACAACTGCTGTGCAATATTCACGAGAATCTACACCGGTGCGATCTCCTTCATCACCAATTAAAAGTCGCCTTGCATCACTGCTATCATCGGGACCATCGACATCTGCTGAAAGCCCTAAGATATCTATAAAGCAGATGAAGAGCTCCGTCGAACAAGTGATGCTTAGATGGATTAACGCTGAAGTCGCATCGTAAGTCTATCTCATTTTCCCCTTCGGTCTTGGCCCCTTCATGGAGATTCAAATTTCAGGAAAGTAAATCTACGCGTAGAGAACATGGACCGTGATTGGAAGGACGGTATCCTATTCTGTGCGCTAGTTCATCGTTGGAAGCCAGACGTAATTGACATGGAGAAAGTGAGAAATTCTGAGCCAAGAGAAAACCTCGAGACTGCTTTCGAAATGGCTCAGAAACACCTGGGAATCAAGAAACTATTGGAAGTGAGTCCCTAGGTCTACCCTTCCCCAAAAATCTCCCTTCCCTTCATTCCGAGTTTGTTTTGTGCTTCCTATAAAGTCATCATATGTAAATAGCGGGCTGTGAGTTTGCACAGCTTCAGGCTCTAATGCGTCAATTTTCATCGTTTTTCGAAAACTAAACATGCATGCAGCTGCGTCAGTATTTCTTGCACTTGCGAGCAGCCAAACGTAGTTGCAAGAGAACTTCCTAATCGTTTCCGAAAGCGCTTAGAACTATTATTTTACCACGTGCATCTATGATTGTTGAGAACTGCAGTGCTTCACTAAATAAAGAAAAATTCCCAAAATAAGAAAGTATTGAGGTTCAACGTATCAGATTTCCAAGGCTTGTAAGATGATTTTAGCAGAAAAAATACCATAATTTTTTGCTTTCAGGTTGACGATGTTCTCTGTCAAAAGCCTGATAAACGTTCCATCATCACCTACGTCTCGCAATTCATACGAGCATTTGGAGAAGCTCCACCTGTTGAAGAACATAGTGTATATACGGAGTTCTTGGAATGGCTCGCTCATGCTTGCAAAGTCGATCTCGTGAACAGCGAACAAGGGGTAGGCTGTCTCTAAGGCCCCAGACAGACTTCACGCGATTTGATCGTCGCGACTCAATCGCCGAAATTTCCATTCATTTTCATTTCACATTCAAAAATTTTGGGCTGGAAAAGTATCACAACCGAAATGCAAGTTGATCGGCATGGAATGATGTTATAACAGTTGCCTCGTCGCGATTCAGTCGCGACGTTCAAATCGCGTGAAGTCTGTCCGGGGCCTAAAACTTTGGAAGTAAATGGGTAATCGAACTCGAGCGCTTTCAGATGTACTTCCGCCTTAGACGGGAGTTCATTGAGTACCGCAGTGTTTACAATACCATCGTGGCTACAAAGCTGCACTTTTCTGTGGAGGAACTGTCAGAAATACAAGAAAAGTGGGTGGTCAATATTGTTTGCTTTGTATTGAAAATGCTGTCAAACGACAGCATTTTGAGAGAGACAGGTTTGGAATCAACGTCCAATGCTTTTTTGAGTGGTTTACGATACATTTGAAAAGGTCACTTTGATTTGAAAGATTTTTTCTAGCAGGGAACGTTTTCAGTCATGCTGTTGTGAAAAGCAAAGTTACGAACTTTGCTTATCCAGTATTTATAGCTTGTGTCAAATTTCATTCATTTTGGAAAGAAAGTACCTAGAGAACAATAATCCTTGCTAGTATCTACTTTATCCCACTGCGTTGAAATTTCGTAACTTGCAGCACTCAACCATGCAACTTTGACTCGTGATGTAAATGAACAAAACCCTAGAATGAATTTTCGAAATGACATCGTCATACACTTCTTTCGACGTTACCCTCAGTTTTGCAGAGCGGTAGTCGTTGTCCTTGACAACACGTCTATCTCAAAATTTAGATGGTTTATTGCAGCAAATGGACTCTCTCCCAAGAAAGTGAAAGTACCGTTACGTGAGAATCTATCGAATACGCAGGCATAGCTGCCTGACATAACAAGAATTGCTAGACAGAAAGCACAAAATGAGACATATAGTAAACACTTTAAATATTCAGTAGTTTTTATGAGAGAAATTTGCGTATTTTTTTGCTCCATTTGCTTGAAAAATATGCAGTATATAGGTCAGCCTACTCGCCTACTAGTGACACTTTTTTGTGAAAGGGCTAGAGTCATCCATCAAGCGTGGGACTTCGCAGTTCTAAAAAAACTCAATTTTTTTCCTGTTTTAAGCCCACAGAAGTTTGGATACACGGTGTATGACGAGCAGTCCATGACTGTCGAGTCAAATTTTTCCCATAAGAAATCTGGCTATACGATATGAAATGATGTGCTTAAATTTGTCCTGCGCACTTTTTGTTCAAAATTTGGAAGAAGTTCAAACCCCGTAATTCTGCGAATGCCACAATGGAGAAATATAATTGGGGACTGTTTCAGATGGGAAACCATTCGATTCAATTTGGAAGCAGCAGCGGCCAGTGCCGAAAAACGTCTTCCAAAACCGTATTCGACACTATCCGGCTGGACCGTTACTGGCCAGTCCATCATCAATACACCGCTTGATCTGCCCTCGGAAGAACCGCATAAATGTCTTGCTATGCTACAGAAAATGATCTCTGAACATAATGTAAGCTTTCTGTGGATTTTTTGGTACTACTTACCAAAGTTGATTTTTAGCGCCATTTTATCGATTTGGCAGCTAAACAAGCTGAATTGCAAGAAGCTACCGAGGTTTGCGCATTTTTTCTCGCATTGGCGAGAATTTTTATCGCCTTTAATTTTTTCAGACTGGAGGATTAGGTGGCCGTCCAGTGGCAGCAGAATATGTCGAGCCACTGCGACTTCGTATGTCGGCGCTGGCGGAGGAAGCGCCATTGAAATTGGCTACTTTGAAAGTGTTGCACGCACATTATACTATTCTAGCGTATCTTTACGACATAGAAGTGAAAATGAAACTGTGGAGGTTGGTCTCAATAATTGAAACTATGTTTTTTGCGAAACAGTCCAAATGTGCGAATTACAACAAGGACAACCTTTGCTGTGATTTAGGCCTCGTATTTATCCGCGCTTTTTCAGCCGACTATTTTTTGTACGCAATCAATTTCGTATGCATATTCATCGTCTAACTCTGCTTGCATAGTACAAACCAGTTCTTGTATAGAGGCCGCTCCCTGCAAAAAAAGCCTTGAAAAAATATTGCAAAAAAACCTTATCGCATCGGAAGGGTGTTCAATGTCACTAATGGAATGCAAGGCTGAGCTTCGAGCACTTTGGGAATTTTTATTGGGTCGGGAAACAAGGGATTAGGAAGAGAACAGAAATTGGATTCATAGTGCAAGTACCACATGATTTCGTTATATGAAGTACTGTAGTTACTCAAAAATCGAGAGCCAACGCTCAGTAAAGTCACAAAATTTTTGGAAAAGAGATACAAGCGCTTGAATCAGTCTCATATTTATCGCGGTAGCATTTTCTTGAGTCTATAAGACTCTATCTATCGAATTTATACGTTACTGAACTGAAGCTCTCCATTATTCAGGTCTGCAGAGAGTCTTCAACTGTTAAATCGCTGGATAACTGAGTATAATCAGTTGGAGAGCGAAAACCCTCGTGCTAAATGTAATCACTATTTGGAGGCCATGAAACAAACTCTAGCCAGTGGACCACGTAAGTTTGAACAAGGGCTCACCTCCTAACGAGGTTGCAACGATCTTGGAAATCTCAGCTTTTTGCAACTGTCATGTTCTAGCTGTTTTTAGAGCAGAAAAAATGTCATTTTGTGATTTTATCAGTTTTTCGACATACTATCTATGATTTTAGCTATCAAGTTGGATGGAGAAAGCATGATAAAAGCCTGCAGTCGGCGTTCGGATGATACTCTCAGAATCTTTGAAGAAATAAAAATGAAGCTGCTGTCATTGCGCGATATATGGACTGAATGGGAGACGGAGGTGTTGAGACTTGAAGAAATCGCAAACGACGGCATTGCAAAGCGTTCGAACACCGTGAAAGGTACAACAGATTAAGAATTGCAATAATTTTCTCTGAAAATTTGCATTTTAGACGAATTGGAAGCAATCCGAACTGTCGAATCGAAATTCGACGAGCTTGTGCCATTATTAAGCGCATCGGCTCGTCTGGCGAGCAATCAGCGACTGGAGCAACTTCGAATGAAAGTGCGACAGCTGAACCGGGTTAGTCTGAGTTTTATGAAATTGAAGAAAGTCCCTTTACCCGGTTCAAGTGCTTAGTGACTCCAATCACATCCACCGTCCCATCAAAACAGTTTGCTTTGCTGTCAATCCCTCTCAATCATCTTTTTCAATCTTTCCCGGTTTAAGTGCTTAGTGACTCCAATCTCATCCTCGGTCTTCAAAACAGTTTGCTTTGCTGTCAATCCCTCTCAATCATCTTTTTCAACCCTTCACCCTTCGCAGCGACTGTAGCAATGCGTCTTATCCGGTTCAACTCTTCAACTCATTCTCCATCTTCCCCTTTCCGCTCCCCCTCACTCGGGTTGCTAATGCATCAAGTTCCACCCAAAGAACGCTTAAGGTACAACAACCCCCGCCATGCTTAACGTTTTCCAAGCGATGGCCTTGCTTTTGCCTCATAAAAATACGAGCAAGAAGTGACTAACGACGTCGTGTCTGCGAGATAGCGCTCTATTTCACATCCATAAAAACAAAGGGTAAGAATTTCAAGGAAATCTAACTAGTCATCTTTTACGACCAATTCTTCTTGGTTGAGAGATGACTTTTCCATTTCTTCAAAAAAAGAAGCTCACATCTCAAAAGAAATGTCCTGAATCAGAACTGGTGCAGCGTCAGGAATCCGACAAATGACGCAAAGAGCAACGATTTTTTTTGCAAAATGCAGTGATGAAGTCAGGTGACTTAGTCGCTGAAATTGATGAATGACTATTCAACTGACAAATGATTAGTGATGAAATATGGGTGATGGATGCGCGCGAATCCCAAGGTGGTTTCTAGGTGAATGTATATTCGCACTGACCAATGATTTATTTGCTTTGGCATAAGCCAGATAAACATGGTTCTAGAAATTAGAAAAAGGTGTGGTGGTCGTTCTAGGATAATAGAACAATCATGCGGAACATGAGAGCTTCAGAAATAGTTTCCGCAAATCTCTTTACACGCATGAGCGCGTGCTTTCCACAAAAAAAGAAGTAATGGATTTCCACAACGTTCCAATCAAACATTTGTCATGGCTCCAAAATGCATTCACATTAGTAATCGGGCCTATTTGCGTCCACCCACCATCACTCAGTCATCATTTCTCTTTCACTGTCTCTCATAAAAAAATGAAATAAAAAAAACTGACAGACAGTGGATTCCAGAGATACGTGGGTAGAAATTAAAAAAAAAGGTTCTATTCTCAAGTAAGTACAACTTCATAATCATAACAAAAGTTATGATTATAAAGTTGTAATCATAACTTTATAAAGTTGCGAAGTTCATATTTTGGCCTTCAGTACGCGAACTTGCGCAGAATTGAGTAACGAGCTATTGGTTCGGTATTTGATAAATCCATAACTTGTAACCATAATGCACGCGAATTTGATAGCAAAGATTAGCAAACATGTGGTGGGTTATCATCATAAAACATTTGGAATGGTAGAGGGACTAAGTAATTGTGGTACATTTTTAAAGCCTCTCAAATAATTGCTCTAACAGTGTCTGTGCATTCCAACAAATTTGTTTTCGTCCCTCGATCAAGTATATCGCTATCGATCCGCGTGCTAACAGCCAGGCGTTCACCCCCCCCCCCCCCTCAAATGAAAAAGTCTCAAACAGCCATGCATTCCATGTAAACTGATATCCGATGCTGAACGCTCGAGAGCCGATACCCATCGTTATTGCGACGATTTCTTTCGCTAAGGACGCACTTGACGCGCGCCAGTGCAGACTCGAGACGTTTTTTCATGTTACTTTGCTGCTGTTCGTGGCAGGACGTGAGAGATGTCATGAACGTGTCAATAGTAGCGAACAACTGCTGCGCGTACGTGTGTCGCTGCACAAGCATCGCTAGCATGCTTATAATGGCTGCGAATGCCTTGCAGCGCATTGCACATAAGAACCCCGTCATGGACGGGTTAATGGGTCGCGAAATATATCATGTGGATGGCCCTGCCAATTTTTTTTCTAGGAAATCACATGTGTTTGTTTTAGGCAATCACTTTCTTGTTTCGATCTGATTTCCCCTTCTACAGCTTTTTTATAGGAAGGTCCCTACTTGTGCTTACAGTCGTAGTCTTTGTAGTTCCACATTGGTAGTCAGTCATACCGGATGCATGAGCGTTCTTCAAAAGTTTGCCAAGTGGTACCATATAAAAAGTCGACATTTGGCCAAAATCCACTCATCTTCTTTTTTGGTGCCAAATAATCTTCAACTAGTTTCTAATTTGGCACAGTCCCCCATAAGAGGAATGCATACCAGTACTTCACGTACGAACATTGCCATTTACATAAAACCGGTCACGCTCAATTGCCTGAGTGACAATATACGATTTGTTCCGGAGAAACCAGTCATTTGCAGAGCTATTAATCATAGTGTATACAAGTTAGGAATCATCATAACTATACATGCGAAGTTTGAGTAAGGTTTTTAGAATTCCGGAACGCTCATCCCGTCCTATCTCAAGCGTATAAGATGCACGCATGTTTCGTCCAAACGCGAGGCGACTTGAGCGCGCCGCTGCGCATGTCCATGCAAAGCGGTTGCTTTTCAGAATTTTCTGGCATGAACTGAAATGTCTCACGAACGCGGAATGCTTTCTGCATATTCGCTCTTGGAAGAGAAAAGGGTGTGAAGGAGCAGGAAGGGGTGGACCATACTACCCGAACTTAGGCTGGATAAAATCGCCACAAATTTGACATTTCTAGAGAAATTATTATGGAGTTCATAATCTACTCGTTCTATCTTTTCCCATCCAATTACTGTCCATTAAGGACTAGTTTCACAAAATTTCTGGTCTGGCACAGGATGAGCACTTGACTTGTCATTATCTGTCATGTCATTCATCTGTGCGGTTGGATCAAGATCCCCGTAATATCGGAACATTTGGCTGCAGTGATCTTTTATGCCCCCTCTTCAACGAAGCAGAGACCATATGGTGGGGTGCATATGTTTGCAGCCTGCACTAGGGGACTGCTCTGCTATTGCAGGCGCAGCACATCACAGCTCAGCTTACCCATTTTATCACAAGGACAAAAATTACAAACATTTCCAATGTTTGCAAAAATGTCGTAATCCACCATGATAAGAAGTGTCTATGTACTACATGACATCTAGTCTGCACTTCTCGTGGAAATTTATGTCAGAGAGCAAAAAAGAGTTTGAAGTAAAAAAAAACAATATAAGAGGAATTACAAATTTTATCTTTTTGTGAGTAGAATGAGAACGTGATTGATTTGAGGTGATGTGTTTACCTTGGACAGGTTTCTAATTAATGCAACATCTAATGTCATAAGTCTGAGGGCTGGAATTTGTCCGTTGCACTTGTGGTAAATACACATCAGTAAGCAAAAAAGGACAGTCGTCTGTAAAATTTATCTGATTTCGCATTTTTGCGGTGTAAGATGTTGCTGAGATAAAGGTCACCTTCGTAGTCACGCTTATCAGAGACTGACGCAACGCAGTACGATGGCAGACCTATAGTAAAATCATATAGATTCTTCACAGCGAAGTTTTTCTTGCAATTGCTTTGCATTGGTCTAGAACAAATTTTTTCCAAAGATCGGAGTTTTTGTGAGAACGCTTAAATCAAGTCCAAACTTGTCGCTAGCATTTGCGTCAGGGCAGCTACCATTGGTCATTGTGTTCGTCATGCGACTAATTGAGAACAATACAGTCAACTAACAATCATGACCACTTCCTTTTTTACGGTAGATTTTGCAGTAAATCTCAGTCTGATCATTGATATATGTGAAAAAGTCAAGGGTTCCTACCTAGATTTCACAACGGATAACGTCTCAGAAATTCAGACTTTAGTCAAGGCCGATGTCATGATCGGCAGTCGAATCCCTTGAAAATTGCTAATTGGAATCGTTCAATGATCCATTCATTGGTCCAAGTATGCGTCCTAATCACGAAAACGAAAGTGACAGTTGGAAGCCCCCCCCCCTTCTTTTTCCGTTCCCTCTATCTTCGTGCTAAATGTAAGTTGACGTACAAAACGAAGCCGTCGTAAAATTGTCACTTTTGCGTTACTCACTATGTAATCACTCCCACTCAAACCGTTCCCACTTTGACGACGTTGAATTTTGGCCATTCGTTGCCGTTGATTCGGCTTTGGTCACAAGAGAAGGGAAGAGAAAGAAAAAGTCCACGTCAGCTGCCGTGCAACGTTACAGAAAAAACATCTTTTGCACAACAAAAGTGCATTTTCGATTACAACGTCGGCAAATGACAAAAACAAATAGCCGCTCGACGGATTAAACTGTGACGACGTCGGGTGAAAAAATGGCGATTAAAAAGCAAAAGAATGGCTTCCGTAAAGATCAGCCAAAGTTGTAGTGTAATCGTATTAAGAGGCACTAGTACGGACAGATTCGAGTAGTCACAGGACAGGGCCTTAAAAACCAAAAACAGAAATAAAGTGCATTGAAATGTTGAAGTTTCCATAAAGAACCGGTAATCATCAACTGCATCAGGCCGCCTAGGTAATGGCCATACATAAATTTCCACCAAATTGTGGGCAAATGGTAATGTCGTTTTGATAGAACATCAAATAAAAAAAAGCAACTAGATGACTTCTCTGAAATACTCAACGCTTTTGCTTCAACGATTACACATGATAATAACGACATTTCCCTTTGTATCTACGGTATTCAGACGTCCTTCTTAAGACATCAAATTGTTTTTGTTAACTGTGAACTCCAAAGCAAATGGGCTGTTTCCAAAGCCGGTTCCTCAGAAACTGTCACATTTACTCAGATTCATAGGTCATAATTGGCTTCAGGTCTGCGAATCAACATAACTTTGCGACTTTCCATCTTCCTTGGCGCAATGTTTGTAGTATCGAGGTCTGGATTCTGGGCAAAAGCGCAATAGATATTTAGATTGGTATGAAGTCCTCAAACTGTTACCCAAGAAACAAAAACGAATCCTTTTTGTGTTTTTTATGATGATTTTGACTTCTTGTGAAGAGTTCATTGATGTGTAAACTCCTAAT